ATATATATATATATATATATACTTGAGTCTTGTTAAAAGAAATGTGCACATTTCTTTTGAGAACTATTTCTGTCCCGCCCAGATATCGAACCTGGGATTCCCGATAGTGAGTCGAGAAATGGAAGCGCGTTTTTTGGCCATTTAGCCACGTGTTATCATGAAATATGAATCGTTGAAATTAAAAAAAAGATTGAAAATGCTCTGTTTGGTGTCAAGGAAATTTTTTTCCTGGTAATCATTTATGCCACAAATTCCCAAAACGAGACGAGAGCTGGGCGTAGTGCAACCCGTCCTCTTAAAATTAACGTCGCTTTTCGCTCGTATACGCACTATGGCCAAAAATGCACGTAATTTGAAATGAAATCTGCTCACGAAAGTGATATACTGTCCCGTTTTCTCTTTGAGTGCACTGGGTTACTCGGTTAGGTTAGGAGAGGAAACTTTCAATTAACGGGTTTCTTGACGTTTTGAAACCTTAGGAGAACTTCTTGCCCTCCTAACTTACCAGAGGACCCTTAACTTATTGCTATAGAAATATTTTTTTCTCATATGGAATCATTTCAGAACTGTGGAGAGTTGGAGATGAGGAACCAGATCTTCAAGAAGGGGCTGTGATCATGTGTGTGTTGATCCTATCACCCAACTATCTTATAAACATATACTGAGGTCCGCTCATGCTCCGTAAATTGACTCTCATTGCCCAAGCACTTGGGCTGAACGGTAGAGCGAAGGTCTCGCTTCATGCAGGTTCGGTGTTCAATCCCCGACCGTCTAAATGGTTGGACTCCCAGGCTATATTGTCGTAAGGGCTAGGCGCTTTCTCTTGATAGTTCCCTTCTTCTCCACCATATCTGGAACAGTTGGTGGAGCCAAGTATGGCAACACCAACAGTTGGTGGAGCCAAGTATGGCAACACCAACAGTTGGTGGAGCCAAGTATGGCAACACCAACAGTTGGTGGAGCCAAGTATGGCAACACCAACAGTTGGTGGAGCCAAGTATGGCAACACCAACAGTTGGTGGAGCCAAGTATGGCAACACCACGTATATACCTTGACTTAAGCACAGCATTTAGCACAGCTTTTGATACTGTGCCACACGAAACGAGGCACTCTTGGCCGGGCCTTAATGAATTACCCTCCCACGGTTGTTTAGCCATTAAGACTGATATACCATATCAAACACCTTGTGTTATAGTCTTCAGCATTATCTGGCTCTTGTTCGGCCACAATCAGGTTAATTTTTAGTCCCTATACTCTAGAATGCATATAAACTAAACTTAAACAATAACAGAACAATGATAGAAGAAGCAGCAATACGAAGATTAAGAAAACTTAAGACAAATTCTCCAAAAAGGCAAAGCGTAAGGACTGAGGTGACTGACGTAAGATAATGGATATATAAGACGAGAGACATTAAGGAGTTAATTATGTATATCAACACAAAATAGAACACAAAACAAGAAATTTAATTTGGATTGTTTTATTTTCAGGAAACACTTGGGGCTTGTTGATTTGTGTAATCATTTACAGGGTTACGCAATAGACGAGGGATCGCTTCAAACGACGTGATTAGATTTTCATTTTTTTTCATGTTTTATGCGTCTCATACCCACCCTGTGGGTGGTAGAGTACCCCCATTCACATTCCCGGTATGGGTATAGGGCCCTATACCCATACCGTGGGCGGTAATGGGCCGTATACCCATCCCGTGGGCGGTAATGGGCCCCTATACCCATCCCGTGGGCGGTAATGGGCCCTATACCCATCCCGTGGGCGGTAATGGGCCCTATACCCATCCCGTGGGCGGTAGTGGACCAGTTTATAAAGGCATTTCATAAGCTCAGGGAACTGAACCCTGAATTTTATTTAGCTAAGCAAGTAACAATCTGATGAAACATGCGACACAGTTTAATGCACGTGTCAATATTCTTCTACACGACAAGTGGGTCAAGAAGCGGCCCACAACAGTTTGTTTGCAGAGAGCAATTGACGTATGTGGTAAGTCACAGTTGTCCAATCACGGCATGCCCCGCCTGCTGTAAGCCAACTATGGATATTTGTCTGTGATTTCTGGTAGTACATCATTCTTTAGGAATATAACTGAACATTTGTAAAGGAAGAATTGATATCTGAATTCTTAGAATTTTTCGCATTTATTTACAAAGTGAGGCGAGGTCTGTGGCTGTTCCTGCTGGGAGGAGGTTACGTGTGTGGTGAGATCTGCTTCGTCAGCAGCAGCAGCAGCAGACACACACAGAGGTACCTGTAGTCGAGTCCAAGCTTACTAGCCGTAACGTCTAGAAGTCTGCTGACCTAATTGTACGATCCATACACGTGTGGCTCTTCCTGCATAATATATATATTTATATATATATATATATATATATATATATATATATATATATATATATATATATATATATATAAATGAGATTGGGTGGGAGTAAATATGAGACTCTAATAACCCAATTTGATCATACGAAGTTGCATGACCAAAATAGTGTCAATGGTAATACAAAAGGATCATATATCTTGACAGAGAGAGGTCGTGGAACCCGCCTCTGTCCGCAGGAGAACTCTCATCACCGGACGGAGTCATCAACGGGGCGCTTCCTGGCTTTCTGTACCAAAATAATCAAGGCCTGTACGCAGTGATTACCCCGCGGATGATTAAAAGGTTGACAGACTGCATGTCGAGTGACCACCATGGGATTATAGAGATCTGATGTGTATGACACACAGCCCCTGGCCCCTCCCTCACCCCATAATTAAGGTGCCATTAATACTGCCCCTACCAGGAACATCCCTACCCTTCTACCTTGACAATATCCCCCCTCCCTGTCAGGGCCATACCCCCCACCCTGTCAGGGCCATACCCCCCACCCTGTCAGGGCCATACCCCCACCCTGTCAGGGCCATACCCCCCACCCTGTCAGGGCATGCCCCCCACCCTGACAGGGCCATACCCCCACCCTGACAGGGCCATACCCCCCACCCTGTCAGGGAAATACCCCCCCCCACCGTGTCAGCGCATGCCCCCCACCCTGTCAGGGCAATACCCCCCCCACCCTGTCAGCGCATGCCCCCACCCTGTCAGGGCAATACCCCCCACCCTGTCAGGGCAATACCCCCCACCCTGTCAGGGCAATACCCCCCACCCTGTCAGGGCCATACCCCCCACCGTGTCAGGGCCATACCCCCCACCCTGTCAGGGCCATACCCCCCACCGTGTCAGGGCCATACCCCCACCCTGTCAGGGCCATACCCCCCACCGTGTCAGGGCCATACCCCCCACCCTGTCAGGGCCATACCCCCCACCGTGTCAGGGCCATACCCCCCACCCTGTCAGGGCCATACCCCCCACCGTGTCAGGGCCATACCCCCCACCCTGTCAGGGCCATACCCCCCACCGTGTCAGGGCCATACCCCCCACCCTGTCAGGGCCATACCCCCCACCGTGTCAGGGCCATACCCCCCACCCTGTCAGGGCCATACCCCCCACCGTGTCAGGGCCAACCCCCACCCTGTCAGGGCCATACCCCCCCCCTCCCGCTCCCCAAGCCACCATGGTCATTAGACTGTAATTGACTTAATGTGTCTGGTTCGTGCATTAACTAATTAATTGTCTGCCGCGTGGAGAACATGCAATGTCGGAAGTCACCAGGTGTTCTGATTGTTGGCAGGTGTTCTGATTGTTGTTGTGGTCGTTGGCAGGTGTTCTGATTGTTGTTCTGGTTGTTGGCAGGTGTTCTGATTGTTGTTCTGGTTGTACGCAGGTGTTCTGATTGTTGGCAGGTGTTCTGATTGTTGTTGTGGTCGTTGGCAGGTGTTCTGATTGTTGGCAGGTGTTCTGATTGTTGTTGTGGTCGTTGGCAGGTGTTCTGATTGTTGTTCTGGTTGTTGGCAGGTGTTCTGATTGTTGTTCTGGTTGTTGGCAGGTGTTCTGATTGTTGTTCTGGTTGTTGGCAGGTGTTCTGATTGTTGTTCTGGTTGTTGGCAGGTGTTCTGATTGTTGTTCTGGTTGTTGGCAGGTGTTCTGATTGTTGTTCTTATTGTTGGCAGGTGTTCTGATTGTTGTTCTGGTTGTTGGCAGGTGTTCTGATTGTTGTTCTGGTTGTTGGCAGGTGTTCTGATTGTTGTTCTGGTTGTTGGCAGATGTTCTGATTGTTGTTCTGGTTGTTGGCAGGTGTTCTGACTGTTGTTCTGGCTGTACGCAGGTGTTCTGATTGTTGTTCTGGTTGTTGGCAGGTGTTCTGATTGTTGTTCTGGTTGTTGGCAGGTGTTCTGATTGTTGTTCTGGTTGTTGGCAGGTGTTCTGATTGTTGTTCTGGTCGTTGGCAGGTGTTCTGATTGTTGGCAGGTGTTCTGATTGTTGTTCTTATTGTTGGCAGGTGTTCTGACTGTTGTTCTGGTTGTTGGCAGGTGTTCTGATTGTTGTTCTTATTGTTGGCAGGTGTTCTGGTTGTTGGCAGGTGTTCTGACTGTTGTTCTGGTTGTTGGCAGGTGTTCTGACTGTTGTTCTGGTTGTTGGCAGGTGTTCTGACTGTTGTTCTGGTTGTTGGCAGGTGTTCTGATTGTTGTTCTGGTTGTTGGCAGGTGTTCTGATTGTTGTTCTTATTGTTAGCAGGTGTTCTGATTGTTGTTCTGGTCGTTGGCAGGTGTTCTGATTGTTGTTCTTATTGTTAGCAGGTGTTCTGATTGTTGTTCTGGTTGTTGGCAGGTGTTCTGATTGTTGTTCTGATTGTTGGCAGGTGTTCTGATTGTTGTTCTGGTTGTTGGCAGGTGTTCTGATTGTTGTTCTGGTCGTTGGCAGGTGTTCTGATTGTTGGCAGGTGTTCTGATTGTTGTTCTTATTGTTGGCAGGTGTTCTGGTTGTTGGCAGGTGTTCTGACTGTTGTTCTGGTTGTTGGCAGGTGTTCTGACTGTTGTTCTGGTTGTTGGCAGGTGTTCTGATTGTTGTTCTGGTCGTTGGCAGGTGTTCTGATTGTTGTTCTGGTTGTTAGCAGGTGTTCTGACTGTTGTTCTGGTCGTTGGCAGGTGTTCTGATTGTTGTTCTGGTCGTTGGCAGGTGTTCTGGTTGTTGGCAGGTGTTCTGACTGTTGTTCTGGTTGTTGGCAGGTGTTCTGATTGTTGTTCTGGTCGTTGGCAGGTGTTCTGACTGTTGTTCTGGTCGTTGGCAGGTGTTCTGATTGTTGTTCTGGTCGTTGGCAGGTGTTCTGGTTGTTGGCAGGTGTTCTGACTGTTGTTCTGGTCGTTGGCAGGTGTTCTGATTGTTGTTCTGGTCGTTGGCAGGTGTTCTGATTGTTGTTCTGGTTGTTAGCAGGTGTTCTGATTGTTGTTCTGGTCGTTGGCAGGTGTTCTGATTGTTGGCAGGTGTTCTGACTGTTGTTCTGGTTGTTGGCAGGTGTTCTGATTGTTGTTCTGGTCGTTGGCAGGTGTTCTGATTGTTGTTCTGGTTGTTAGCAGGTGTTCTGACTGTTGTTCTGGTCGTTGGCAGGTGTTCTGATTGTTGTTCTGGTCGTTGGCAGGTGTTCTGATTGTTGTTCTGGTTGTTGGCAGGTGTTCTGACTGTTGTTCTGGTTGTAACTTCAGACATCTGAAGCTACATATCACTCAGATTAATTGCATAGGAAAAAAATGTTAACATTATTAATTAACGGAATTAATTAATATTAACTGTTAACAGAGAGAGTGAGTGAGTGAGTGAGTGAATGAGTGAGTGAGTGAGTGAGTGAGTGAGTGAGTGAGTGAGTGAGTGAGTGAATGAGTGAGTGAGTGAGTGAGTGAGTGAGTGAGTGAGTGAGTGAGTGAGTGAGTGAGTGAGTGAGCGCGACATAATTGAGTGCATGAATTAATGAGTGTATGAAAAATTGAGTGATTGTCTGCGTGAGAGAGTGTGTATTTGTTTGGGTGAATGGTGGATAGAAGGATGAATGATAGACGAATGGGTGGGGATGAATGAATATAGTTAGAGAGAAATGTTTTATCAATGAGTTGATGAATGTACGCATTTGGAACCTTTCTATCTATCCATCTGGTCGTCGGGAAGGATAACCTGTTGAGCAACCCGTGCTGCTAATCAATCATTTCAATCCCTCTCTCTCTGTCTGTCTGTCTCTCTCTCTCTTTCTCTCTCCCTCTCTCTCTGCCCCGCGCCTGCTCCTCTATGATAAGAGTGAATTAATCACTGTTTTCCCCTCATCAGTTCTGAACTGTATCAGTTCTTTTCCTTCACTCTGATTCTTGTTATTCACATTCATTGTATTCACTCCCTGTCAGGCATTTTCTTGGTGGCTTATTCCCTTGTTGGGCTAATGTATTCACTGTCTTACTCACTACTTCATTCACTGTCTCTCATTCACTGTCTCTCATTCACTGTCTCTCATTCACTGTCTCCCCCTCACTGTCTCCCCCACACTGTCTCCCCCTCACTGTCATCTCCCCACTGGGGTGCTCTGGACCTGGTCCTGGGGGAGTTAGTCACGGATAGTGACCAGGAATGGTGTGGGGCGGGGAGCAGGAACTGGGCCCCATGCTCCTTGTGTCTGTTGGTGATGTGAATGTGGAGAGATATGCAGCTAGGGGCCCTCGGGCTCCCACGGGGGCCCAGCTGGGATCCCACGGGAGCCCGGGCTCCCACGGGGGCCCGGACTCCCACGGGGGGCCCAGGCTCCCACGGTGGCCCGGGCTCCCACGGTGGCCCGGGCTCCCACGGGGGCCCGGGCTCCCACGGGGGCCCAGACTCCCACGGGGGGGCCCGGGCTCCCACGAGGATCCCCATCTGGTAACACGTGACAAGCTTGACAGACTAGAGTAGCTAAACTTTGGTAATTATACTTAGGTAATTACATGCCCTCACATACACCTACACACGCGCGCGCGTACACGCACACACACACACACACTTGTACACACACAGACAGACAGAAGAGTTAGAGGGGGACATGATCACCACATACAAGATTCTCAGAGGAATTGATTGGGTAGATAAAGACAGGTTATTTAACACAAGGGGCACACGCACAAGGGAGCAGAGGTGGAAATTGAGTGCCCAAATGAGCCATAGAGACGTTAGAAAGATTTTTTTTCAGTGTCAGATTAGTAGACAAATGGAATGCATTAGGCAGTGATGTGGTGGAGACTGACTCCATACACAGCTTCAAATGTAGATATGATAGAGCCCAATAGGCTCAGGAATCTGTACACCAGTTGATTGACAGTTGAGAGGCGGGACCAAAGAGACAAAGCTCAACCCCCGCAAGCACAACTAGGTGAGTACAAATAGGTGAGTAAATACACGTGCACACACACACGCGTGCACACACAACCACGTGCACACACACACGCGTGCACACACACACACGCACACACATACACGCGCACACACATACACGCACGCATGCGCACACACACACACACACACACACACACACACACACACACACACACACACACACACACACACACACACACACACACACACACACACACGCACACACACGCACACAAAAAAGGAGAAAAAACAGATAGGAGGGACATGATCACCACATATAAGGTTCTCAGAGGAACCAGGGGCACACGCACTAGGGGACACAGGTATAAATTGAGTGCCCAAATGAACCCTAGAGACATTATAAAGAATTTTGTCAGCCTTTGAGGACCTGGGATTGGCGGTTCGTGTTTCAAGGAAATCCTGCCGAGTAAGGCTGCGAACTCAGACTCAGGACTCAGAAGTCATCGACTCCTGTACCCACTTGAGAGAGAGAGAGAGAGAGAGAGAGAGAGAGAGAGAGAGAGAGAGAGAGAGAGAGAGAGAGAGAGAGAGAGAGCTTGTGTGTAAAACCTTCGCTTCAGCTCCCTTTCCGTTCCCTTTCCTTCGCAGGCTCCTACTCTAATCATCATCGCTTATCTCTTCGTTATCATCCTCATTAATCCCCCTTTCTTCCTCCTCTTCTTCCCTTCTCTTCCTACCCCTTCCCCCCAGGCATTAATCTCCTCTCGCGTAACCCTTCCTTACCACCGGGGATTACGGCACTCAAAGGGGGCAGGCGAGAGGGATTTACATAAGTTAGCGAGGGGCAAAGGTGGCGACCGCGGGCCCGCATATCCGCTCCTCGAGTAAAATCAGGAATCCGGATTGTGTGGCTTATTAACCTCTCTTCTGTTGGGAGGGTTCGTGCAGCTAGTTCGGCCCCCTAGTGTAGACGGATGAGGCTAGTTCCGCTCCTAGTCTTGGGGAGGGTTGCTAGTTACACTCCTAGTCTTGGTATGGGTTGCTAGTTACACTCCTAGTCTTGGTATGGGCTGCTAGTTACACTCCTAGTCTTGGTATGGGTTGCTAGTTACACTCCTAGTCTTGGTATGGGTTGCTAGTTACACTCCTAGTCTTGGTATGGGTTGCTAGTTACACTCCTAGTCTTGGTATGGGCTGCTAGTTACACTCCTAGTCTTGGTATGGGTTGCTAGTTACACTCCTAGTCTTGGTATGGGTTGCTAGTTACACTCCTAGTCTTGGTATGGGCTGCTAGTTACACTCCTAGTCTTGGTATGGGTTGCTAGTTACACTCCTAGTCTTGGTATGGGTTGCTAGTTACACTCCTAGTCTTGGTATGGGTTGCTAGTTACACTCCTAGTCTTGGTATGGGTTGCTAGTTTCGCTCCTAGTCTTGGTATGGGTTGCTAGTTACACTCCTAGTCTTGGTATGGGTTGCTAGTTACACTCCTAGTCTTGGTATGGGTTGCTAGTTGAAGTCCTAGTCTTGGTATGGGCTGCTAGTTACACTTCTAGTCTTGGTATGGGCTGCTAGTTACACTCCTAGTCTTGGTATGAGTTGCTAGTTACACTTCTAGTCTTGGTATGGGTTGCTAGTTACACTCCTAGTCTTGGTATGAGTTGCTAGTTACACTTCTAGTCTTGGTATGGGTTGCTAGTTACGCTCCTAGTCTTGGTATGGGTTGCTAGTTACACTCCTAGTCTTGGTATGGGTTGCTAGTTGAAGTCCTAGTCTTGGTATGGGCTGCTAGTTACACTTCTAGTCTTGGTATGGGCTGCTAGTTACACTTCTGGTCTTGGTATGGGTTGCTATAGTTACACTCCTAGTCTTGGTATGGGTTGCTAGTTGAAGTCCTAGTCTTGGTATGGGCTGCTAGTTACACTTCTAGTCTTGGTATGGGCTGCTAGTTACACTTCTAGTCTTGGTATAGGTTGCTATAGTTACACTTCTAGTTTTGGTATGGGCTGCTAGTTACACTCCTAGTCTTGGTATGGGTTGCTATAGTTACACTCCTAGTCTTGGTATGGGTTGCTAGTTGAAGTCCTAGTCTTGGTATGGGTTGCTAGTTACACTCCTAGTCTTGGTATGGGCTGCTAGTTACACTCCTAGTCTTGGTATGGGCTGCTAGTTACACTTCTAGTCTTGGTATGGGCTGCTAGTTACACCTAGTCTTGGTATGGGCTGCTAGTTACACTCCTAGTCTTGGTATGGGTTGCTATAGTTACACTCCTAGTCTTGGTATGGGTTGCTAGTTACACTCCTAGTTTTGGTATGGGCTGCTAGTTACACTCCTAGTCTTGGTATGGGCTGCTAGTTACACTCCTAGTCTTGGTATGGGCTGCTAGTTACGCTCCTAGTCTTGGTATGGGTTGCTAGTTACACTTCTAGTCTTGGTATGGGCTGCTAGTTACACTCCTATTAATGACATATGGGTTAAGTACCATATTGTGAAATCAATTATCTTACATTGAGTTTCCTCTTATAATACACAAAACGTCTTATAATCTTGTTTGAATTCCCAATGACGTTTGGGAATCTTGTTTGCATTCCCCACCAATGGGAGATGTCCAGATTCCCAATCAATCTATCCGTGATTGAGGTCCCCCGTGACCAACAATTTCTTGCTCATTCTGTGAGCTGTTGTTGCTACCCTCTCCAGTCTATCTATACATGTCTTGTTGTTGTCAATACATTCCTGTCTGGGCCTCTACTGTTTGGTGGGAGGATTGTTAGTTTTCAAGATCACAATCCTCTTCCTATCTGCTGTTAGATTCCTCAAGTATGGAGTTTATGTTTTCACTAGTTCTCCCTATTCTCTAGTTCCTCAAATTGTGTATGTATGTGTATTTAATCTTTGTATTTTCTCTGACAGTCTGGTTTCGCTACCTGTACTGACGTGCTGTTAACCCCATTGGCTTTCTCTCTGTCTGTCTGTCTGTCTGTCTGTCTATCTGTCTGTCTGTCTCTCTCTCTCTCTCTCTCTCTCTCTCTCTCTCTCTCTCTCTCTCTCTCTCTCTCTCTCTCTCTCTCTCTCTCTCTCTCTCTCTCTCTCAGGCAAATGACTCAAGACATTTCAGAGAGCGGAGTTATTTTCTTTATTATGCTTTCTTCCTTTCGCCGACGCGTTCAAGTTTGTTTGTAATCTGGGGAAACGTGCCGGGTGTTTGCTTGTTTGTGTTTGTTTGTGTGTTTGTAGCGTCGTTTGGTCTCGGGAACGGCCAGCGAAAATGTCTGGACTTTATTGTCTGGAGTCTGGCTCAGGATCGTATTCACACAACATTTTGGTGCGATCTTGCAAGTCTTGGGTCTGGCCTCGCCAAAT